TTGAAATTGCTGAAAATGCGTTTTTTTTGTCATTATGAAAAATTGTTTCTCAAAACATAAAAATGGAAAACGCGTTTATTTCGAAATTTTGAAAATATTTTTTTATAATATTTTATTTAGGAAATTTGATTATTCAATAAATTTATAAAAATGGCAAGTCCTTGTTTTTGTTCTTGTATGTAACTTGTGACAAGAATTAACTAGTGTCAACTCACAACCAAACCTAATCAATTTGCAAAAAAATGGAGCACTAATCGCATGCGACATGGTAATAAATATTTTGAAATCAATCTTATTTAATTCATGTTAGTTCTCAAAATTCTTGCCAAATACAATTTTGATCATCTAAACACGATGATTTACTAGCAATTAACAATAGCGAGAAATGGCTTTTAATCTGACCAATTAAATAGTGCAGTACCAAAAAAGAAATAGTTACATTCAGTATCCACCCAATTAATTTTGTTTATATAGGAACAAACAAGTAAACCTTCAGGCAGGGACCGTTGTTAGCAAACAAACGGATATAAAGAAGTGAAACATTTATGTAAAATTGGCTTTGACCCATGGTTGGGCAAAGCGCACCGGGTGGAGAGGAGGCTAACCCATGTGGCCCGCGATCATGGGAATGCCGGACGGCATCAGAATTTACAAAACTCGGACCCTGTTGCGCGGACTTCGCGACTGTGATTCTTCTGGGATGAAATCCGAACATTGCAGAGTTGTTTGTGGTGGATCGGTGACATGTTTAGAGTCACCTGGGGATAAGCATTCCACCAGTAGTGTCACATGACCTTGGGCGTTGCCGGATGTGAAGTTTCCGATAGAAATAGGTCGTGCCAGAATGGTATTCTGGCTTCTAATTTCTGATGATTCTTGTTGTTTCATGGCTGATGAATGGTTGGAGATGATAGATGGGAGTGAGGCAAGGTTTATTCTTTCAATTGGTGGTGGAATGATGGGAGGTGATAGAGGGGAGTGAGGCGAGGTTGTTTGTGCGGATTCTTCCAATTTTCAGTTTTCATAAGGTGTTTTTCGTGTTTTAAACATTTTTGAGTTTTTGGTTTGAAAACACTCAAAATGACCGTTTTGAGTTTTATATACAATTTTTTTTTTTTCAAAAATGCGTTTTCGAAAGTAGGAAAAATAATGCGTTTTCAGTGTTTTAGAAAATCAAAAACAGAAAACGACTTGAAACGACAAAGAGAATGGCCACTTAATTATTTAGGGTATTCGGCCTAATTTAGTCTTATTCACTTCACATATAGTCATTG